CTTATCGACTTCTTGAGCAGAATTCTAAGAAGAAAGTAAACCTACAGACATCGGTCTTGTTTCACACAATCTGCCTTCTTTCCTATTTAAATGTTTGTTATATTTGAGATCTTATTACATTCAGATCCTCTCTTTATGAGGAACTAATTATATATTCTAGAAACTTGTAAGTCAGGCAACATGCACTTGATTATACAATCAACAAAACAATTATAATTTTCTTAAAATTCCAGTATTACAAATATATCAGTCATTATATACATAACATGTTTTATGATAAAGTAACTGTTCTTCACACTACCTATTAACAAAAGTGTAAAAGAGTTTAAATACACATTCTCTAAATAGTTGAACTATAAAACAGCTAATACATTAAAGTACTGACTAACAGACTAAACAGCGGGTAAATTTTAACAATGAACCATTAAAACAAAATCCTGCAAATTAACTAAATCTATCATACACTATGAAGGGTGCCACTGAGATTTTCCAACATATTGTCTAGACAGGAAGCAACTTTGTGTGCCTGCATTTCCAGATCTGCAAGGGCTCCAGGATCTAGCAGGGGCACTTGAGGAGTCAAGGCCTGTCGATACAAACTTGGAGTTGATGATCTAGACCCTGAAAAAGATGAAATTACTAAAGAAAACAATACAGTAAACTCATGTTAATTCAGAAGCATCACTAAACACTGACACACAGGGCTCATGCCTCAAATCCCAGTTGGTGTCTTGAAAAATCAGAATAGAAAACCATGATTGATAGGATACTGAAACACCAAAAGTTATAATTTTCCTATACTAAAAATATATTTTCAATAAGTACTTACCTCCCTCACATATATAGCTATTCTTGTTCACTGCTGCCCTCTAAATGCAATTTTTTTTTCTCATCCCACAAGCCTTGTACTCCCACATACCCCACAATTATTGTGGTTCAACTACATCTTGCATGCAAACCATCATGCGACAACCTTCTACCAATATGAGAGTGACACACCATCCTGATGCATGTGACTCCCTCTATTCAATTCTACTGAACTATCACTTCGAGTTTAGGCAAAAAAAGGAAGCACAGGTGGGAAGTGTGAAAGGAGTTAAATACCAATTGGAAATATATTTTCAGCATAGGAAAATTATAACTTCTGATACAGTACATTACTTCTGCTCACAAATATAGCTAGAATCCCACACTGAAGAGGTGGAGGGATAAAAAGAGGCATATTTTGAAAGCATCTGAAGAACACCTTATACTGGTGATCCTCTTAATAGAGAATTATACGTGGGAGACTACACTACTTCTGTACCAGGTATACTTTTTGCCCAGTTTGAAAAGATGTGTGTCGCAGACTCTGGCAAAAAAAAAATAGAGGAAGCACAACCAAAAGGGAGAGAAAACAGTTGAATTGGAATCAGAACCACATGATACCATAATCACAATCCCATTGCGGAGAGGCTGTAGATGAATCCTCTACAGACAGTAATGTGAGGAAAAGTGAAACTGGATGTGCTCCAAGGCGTAGATTGGCCAGGGTGTGACGGATCATATGCGGTAGGTCAACTCTAGTCCAAAAACAAGTAGTATCTGGAATATAACCTCCAATCCATGGTAGGAGGTGGGTTCACACAGTCTTCATATCAAGTTCAGTAGAATGAAATTATATACTGTGCAGATCAATCAATGAAATGTGCACGTGAACCATCCACAACTACCCATAAAAATCTGAATCCAACATCTCAATAATAGCAGTAAGAGATGCACCCCTGTGGGAAGTCACATCATATTTATACTTAATCCAATAGGCAACCTACTGCACCACAGCAAACTCAGACCTCAAAAACTCCTTGAGGTGAAGTGCAAGAGGAAGGATTGTTACCTCCTTCAACATTATTCCTCTTGTTTTGTGTGATCATGAGGCAAATTGAGTGAAGAAAAGGAAAAACATAGGCAACACATGTATGTGGACTTATGTTGATTGATTCTGCAACCAAAACCAGTCCTGATCACCAGGACTCCTAATCACTCCTCCATGTGCAAAATTTCATAAGGCTTAGCAACTTACAACAAGCAGCAAATGAATACAAATGTTATAACTAGAAAAGATATTTGTTTGCTTTACTTCTTTATTTACTGTTCTATGTTTTTAGAAAAATAAGTTTTAGAACTTATTTGTAAATAGTAATAATGTATATACAAATATTATGTATAATATTTGAAATATGACTGGATTTTACAAAATACTAGTGCACTAAAACTCAGCCAAGACAGGTCACTTTGTAAAGAGTAAAAGTTTTATTTTATTTGGTATGGTAACACAAGTTTACTTGTGCCTCATCATTGTAACTTCTGTATTGTTAGCCAGGCATGGCAGTAAGGTCAATATAATAAAAATGATAAGTATATAAAAATGTATAATGTTAAGAGATTTAAGCTATTTAGTCTACACATTAGTCTTTTTGTGTTATAATTTGTAGTCATTCTTGAACGAAAAAGGTATAATTTATATTTATTTCCTAATTTTGTATGGTGGTTGCAGAGATTCGTTAGTGAAAATAACAGATGAAATATAGATTTTTCTTAGGAAATGTTTGTTAACTATCTAGACGTTATAAAGATTTCGCATGTAAAATTTGAAAATTTTCTGATGTATAAAATCATTTTTAATCTTAAAATGAAAATTACTTTGCATGTTAGATAGCAATATGTGAAAAGAAAAAAGGCACAAGAAAAACAATGCTTAAGAAACCTTAAGATTTAATTTAAAAATTGATATTTTGCGTATGAAAGCCTTGTAATGTTTACTGATAATCTGCCAAATTTCGTGAACATAAGCTTACTAATTTAAAGGTTATAGCATGAAACTATAACAAGTACAAAATGGTGATGAGGTCAGTCCCAGGGAACGAGTCCATGCAGAAAGAGTTAAAAACCACATATGTACCTGATCTAATGGATAAGTACTTCCATAGAAACCCACATCATCAAAAGTGATAAAACCTCTGAATGAGTAAGAGAGGGACAAGCAAGGGTGTGGAAAACTGAAAACTTCATCAAATGGAATCAAAAAAGGAGAAGGTTGGGCATGACTGAGGTGGGAGTTGAAAATACCACCAAGTGAAAATATACTGAGTAGGGAATAGGAAAGACTTCTCCAGCATGATAATACAACCCACTTGAGCAGCTTCGGAAAGAAGGAGACAATTATGACATAAAGACTCCATTTTTGAATGAACTAACCAAAGCCAGTCAACAATGTAGTGATGTAGGAGCAACCCCCGAGCATGCATAGGTCAGTCAAAAGCTTTGACAACCCAACAAAAGACACACAGAGCTGAATCAAACCCAAAGGGCAAGGCACAAAACTGGTACACAACCCCGTGATGAACAAACCCAAGATAGCATCTGCACCAAGTAGCAATAAGAAATGTGTAAATAATCGTTTGAAATGTCTATCATGGTCATCCACAAACAAACAGAAAAAACCCACTTTAGTGTAAGAAAGGACTCCATTGTAAAATGGGAAAGATCCAGAAATTGAGTGAAGTGGAACAGATCGACCACAGGGGATTGCAAGGGCTCATGGTGAGACAAATGAGCAACCAAAGAAAAAAAGGTCAAATGTTGTCTCACAGATTCCACACATGATTCCAAAGTTTCAGGAATATTCCCCAAATGGGATAGTTGGGTAAAAAGAGCCATTTGAAAGTTCTGAAGGTAAGTGAATGGTAAACAACCCTGGGACAACAGATCCTAACTGCAAAGAAACCACATGTGAAGAGACAGAGCCAAGGAGGACAATTGTGCAAACACAGAGGTAAGGAGGAAGAAGGTATACCCCAAAAATCCCTTAGAAGATCAGTGAAGTGCTTCAGAAAAAAGGTGCATGGTGTACAAGTACTGCAGGAGAGTACTAGAGACAAAAGCAAGAAAACTGGGCCTGGGATAAATGGGCAGGATTGTCAGGATCAGCCCCCCATACTAGAAGTAGTGTTTCTAACTGCTAAGAATCAAGAAAGAGTTAATCTGTCTGATGGTGAGCCAAGACAAACTGTTCCGTGGCCCATGGAAGTTGAGGCATGCTCGCAATTGAGAAACAAAATGCTCAGCATGAGCTGTGATATTAGGAGAAGGATGGAAAACAAAATACTAGGAGGAAGAAGTGTCATGTAATAAGGAATGAACAGGATTATAAGAAATCAGGGAAATGGATAAAACAGAACAAACCTGAAAAATCACATCTCAAAAGGGTGAATTAGGCCAAGCTGATTCCACAGGAGAGGCATGGAACGGCACAGCATACTTGGGAAGGGAAGAAAGGCTGTGAAACTCCTTGTCATCACAAGCAGATTCAGCAGGAAATCGAGCACTATCAGAAGAAGAAGGTTAACTCAGATAATGTTCAATATCCCAATGAATTAAGCCTGAAAATTTCTCACACAAGTTCCCCAACCTCATGCCTGTAAAACTGTGCTGATATCACTAGAAGAATCTCCGAAGTTGTAACATTAACTTCAGTATTCATCATAAAATGATGAAAATTTGAAAATTATTCAAATAAAAAAGAAGAAACAAGGTAAGTTATCACTAAAAACTTTAACAAATAAAACAATAGTAAAAGATTATATGATATTTCCACTTCATATGATAATATTAAAGAGAAAAATGCATGATCAGAGCATAATCAAACCACATTGTGACTATAGCACTGCCTAACAAGAAGTGATAGTTCGGTAGAATCGAATAGAGAGAATAACATGCATCAAGAGGGTGTGTCACACTTATATTGGTGGAGGCTTGTTGCATGATGATTTGCATTCAAAACACAACTGAACCATGATAATTGAACCATGGGGTACATGGGAGTGCAAGGCTTGTGGCATGCAAAAACATTTTGCATGTGGAAGGCAGCGCTGTATAAGAATAGCTATATACGAGAGAAGACGTAATGTACTGTACTGGAAATTCCCTCACCTATGGGCCCAAGCCCCAAGTCTTTTAAGCACCTAGCAATGCCTCTGTGTTAGTTCATTTGAACATTACCTGGAATATAATTTAATTGAGCTAAATGCACTTGATGTATACTTTTATTGTATTTTTTAAAATAAAATGGGAGGCTAACACATATTTGTAAAGATGAAACTTTACTTCAATAATCTTCTCTAAACACTTCTACAGATGTATCAACGCATTATTTGAATTTGAATTTTGAAAACCATAAATGCCACTTGAGCTAAATGCTTGATCAAACCTTGTTTTTTTTTACATTTATGTGTACAACATCAATAGTAATTTAAAATTGATAACATCCTGGGGAATTTCAACCTACTGTAATCATCCAGTTAACAAGAGTAAAGAAGCATAGGTAAATTTCAATGATATCTGTTATTGGTTTAGCCTGCAACACTAAATGATTATAATGCATTACTACTGACTCAATCACAAGAAACCCACAAGTAATACATAAGTAGTTACCTGGAACAACTACACAGCATGTTTCAACATTATTTCAACAAACTTAGTCATTTCACTGCACTTTAAATAAACACAGATTAAAGCCTCACAGTTATCCTCAAAATAGTACAAAATGTGTGATTTCAGTTGCTATCAGCCGTTCCATGACA